CATGGCGAACTGCAGGCACTGGCGCCAACGGCATTTCTGGCGCTTCTGATTGCTGCCTCCAAATTTGGGCTTGTCACAGCAAAAATCGCAGTGGCCGCAGTCCGATCGCCGCAGGCAGGCTGCACAGGACCCACATTTCCTGTTCTGCCGACGGTTGGTACAGGGCTGCTGGAGCGGGAGAGTGGACTGGCGTTAGAACATGAGAGAGGACATGTCCGCTACCAATTAACAAAACAACGCTGCAGCAGTGGCCTCTTCCCCTGCTGAAGGGGTCGGTCAGACCTGGCCTCAGCCTGTCGACTGGCCACCAGACCCACCACCGTGTCTGCTAGTCCACTACAGCTACTGTCACTGCGCTGACCATCTCTCACACCATCATCAGGGCTGCTCTGCCAACATCATACCCATCACTCTACTGCCAGCAGCCCACTCTCTCCTGGGACAACAACGCCTTAAAGCCCCATCTCCAGTGGGGTGTTACTGACCACCTATTAGCTCCCATCACTGTGCTGATTCTGTCTGTCTCTTCTGGTAACCCTAGGCTTTGTGCTGTTGCTCTTAGTCCCGTGTCAGCGTGTTCTGTATCAGCCCAGCGTCAGCTCAGGTGACACATGGCAGTGCCTGCTGCTCCCTGTGACCGCTCACCCTTCCCATCATGCTCTGCTCAGATCTTAATAGCACCAATCACTGTGCCTCATGTACTCCTATTAGGCTCATGACAGCATCTGTTTCTTTGAGGTTAACCAAGTACCCAAGGACAGCCTAGGCTTATCAGGTCTGGGGGCGGGGCAGTGGGGCCACTCACTAGCTCATCCTCGTCTACACAGTAATAGATGAACTCAGCAGGTGTCGAGGGGGCCAGGGCTCTGGGGTGCTGCAGAGGCAAATGGGGTGGGGGTCAGGGTATATGCTAAGATTACAGTTGGCCTCTTCCCGGTCCCCCCACAGGGCCTCACCAGCTCTGTGGGCTCTGGGGTTTGCAATACGGGTGGCGGAGGTAATGGCTGGGCTTGGGGACGCCGTCGGGTCGCAGTCTTGGGGTCGCAGCCTCCTTTACGGCGGCCAAGTTTGCCCTGGAAGAAAGTGGAGAAGCGGTTTGGACTTGATGGCATCAGGTGGACAGAGGACCCCTAGGAGTGCAGAAAGCATGCATGGGGCAGGTGGGTCCAGTGTGGAAAGGAGCACTCACAGCAGGGGGCGCCACAGGCAGGGAAGGGTGTCGCTGACATCGCTGACGGTGGCGCCGGAGGCTGTGGGCAAGGTGCTGGCAGAAAGGGGCAAGTACATAGGGCCAGGGAGGTGAATGTGGGGTTGGGGAGAAAGGAGACATGAAGTGGACAAGGCCAAGTACAGAGGAAGCAGCAGCAGCAGCGCCACCTTCACCAGGAGAATAAGCTCTGCCCCAGTGTGAGCCCCACCAGCTGAACTCACCCGCAGGCAACGCCGCTGAACGCACCTCCATTGGCGCCTGAGACCTGGGCGGGGTGGGCGGAGGCAGACTCGGCAACGGCCACAGTCTTCTCGGGTCTGACAGCCCCGGCACACTCCACACCCTCGGCTCTGTGGGTTGGGCCGGAGGCGTGACGGGCAGGACCAGGAGCATGAGGGTCAGGGGCCGGGGGCCAGGTGGCATGAGGTCAAGGGCCTAAGGATCTTAACCAGGGTCGTACCCCACCTGCCTGTGTCTGACTCACTCTTTCCACAATCCGGAGGCAGCGTCTCTGTTCACACTTGCAGGAGAGCCCAGAGCCCGCAGTCCGGGGCAGCTGCAGGAGGCAGGTGGAGCAGGTCCCGCAGTCCCTGGTCACCTGGCAGGCCTTGCACTCTCCACAGCCAACACGCTGTCAGGAAAGGCGCAAGGTCACAGACGCAGGCAGGGGCCCGGGAGTACTACCCTCTCACTTTTGCTGACCCTACTTTACCTCCTAGACTCCCATTTGCCTCATCAAGGTTTCTGTTAATTAGCAATAAGCCACCATCACTGTGTCTGCTGAACCCTGGCTAGCCTCATCGCTTATGTCTGATGACATGCTATTACTCCAATGACTTTAAAGTCTGCTGACCTGCTGTTCATTCTCTAGAGAATGACCATTACAGTGTGGGCCCCTCACGGCTTCTGCAGGCCCTCCAGCAAGGCTCATCACATCTGGCTCCCACCACTGGATTCTGAAGAGGGACGTCATGCTTACCTTAAACATTCTCTGCTCTCGGTTGAAGGCAATTCTCTGTGCTAGGGAGAGGGAGGGAGGAACAAAGCAGAAAGGAAGCGTCAGACACCTAACCTCATCCGCTGCTTCTGCCCCAATTCCCAACAGTCAACTCCAACGCAGGCAGCGTGGTACTTCCAACAGTCAGCCTCCATCCTGACCTCCACCGTCCACCCTTCACCCTCGCCGGACCCTGGGGGCCGCTCACCTCGGCAGTCCTTGCACAGTGTCTTAAGCCGCTGCTTCCTGGTACCATCTATCATGAAACTGATTCCACAGTTCTCGCAGCACCTGGGACAAGACAGATGGGTGCATGGCTCTGAGTGTGAGCCAGTCACATCCTCTATCCACCTGACCCACCTGCGGCCAGCACTTACCCAGGTGCAAGGAACGAAGTTGCAGCTGTGCCAGCATCACCCTTAGCTGCTTCTACGGGGGCCTTCCCATTGGCCTCACCCTTCCGCGGCGCGCTCTGACATTGCTGAGCTTTGACTGGCTTTGAAGGCTTTTTCCGCTTCCTGCCAGAAACACCCAAAGCATGTGTCTGGAGATGGGAGGGCAGAAGAACAGCAGAATGCAGGTCAATGGCTGGGTAGCTATCAGAGCCACCCCTGCCTGGACACCCCATGTCATGGAAGTACCTTAGGGACTGGGTGGCACAGGATACCCTGCTTGAAGTCAAACAAGGTGAGGTCGCAAGCAGGGCCCAAGTATCGGGTCAGCTCAACTTTGCTT